GCTTCCAATTGATGTGCCTTGATTGGTGTGCCTTGTTCGTGACGCCGCTTCCTATTCAGCGAAAGATGAACAGTGTGAGAAATGTGGGCCATTCAGCAACAGTGTGGACTGAGACTGTGTGTGTTATGAAAGCAATGGGTTTGATGTGAAATTGTCGATGCTGGCTTTCGATCCTTCTTCTTTGTTTGATGTGAYTYTTAGCTACGCTGCTCCCGTGTTTTGTTCGTCTGCTTTTGGATACGCCGTCYCGTTCCCGTGTTCTGTATCCTAGSCCGGTCGTGTCGAATTGTCGCGCTGGCCCCCCACGTTTGAGTCGAACTCGATCGAATCGACCTCCATCGAGTCGATCTCGATCGAGTCGAACACGATCGAGTCGAACACGATCGAGTCGAACACGATCGCCTGGGCTTACGATCGGATCCAACACGATCGTCTGGACTCACGGTCGCCAGGACTCACGTTCGAGTCGACACGATCGGCTCGAAGACGATCGCCTTGACTCACCATCGAGTCGAACACGATCGCCTGGGCTCATGATCGACTCGAACTCGATAGAGTCGAACACGATCGTGTCGAACTCGATCGAGTCCAGCACGATCGATTCGAGCACGATCGATTCGAGCACGATCGAGTCAAGCACGATCGTGTCGAACTCAATCGAGTCGAACACGATCGCCTGGACTCACGATCGACTCGAACACGATCGAGTCCAACACGATCGAGTCGAACGAGGTCGAGGCGATCATAAACGAGTCGAACACGATCGAGTCGAGCACGATCGAGTCGAACACGATCGAGTCAAACGCGATCGAGTCGATCATGATCGAGCCGAACACGATCGAGTCGAACATGATACGCCTGGACTCACGATGGAGTCGAACACGATCGAGCTAGCCTGTCACGCTCGTGCCGAACGAGATCGTGTTGACCACAGGCACGATCACGATCGAGTTTAACACGATCGCGGCTGCCTCGTCACGAAGGAGATGCTGCCTTATCACTATCTGGAACTTTTCTGCTCCTCGTGCCATGCCAACGTTGTGCGGCCTTCTGATTTTTTGCTTCGCGGTGATGTGATGTGTTGTTTTCAGATTACGCAGCGCTACAAAACATGGAAGGAGAGGGGAAGGCAAGTAAACGATGAGCAAGTAAGAATTCTGGGAGCATGGAACAATCTCCGAAAAAATCGAAGGGGACGCCGGCCGCTGGGGTTGGGAGTCTGGAGGCACCGAGGTCTAAGCGGCAACGCACCCCGGTTTCGAGGGGTGCACCTTCCATGGGCACTCCGTCGACTCCGGATAAGGCTTTGTTGATGACTGGCGGGCCTGCGGGTCAGGAATGTGTGCCTGGTCCACAGCAGGGGAGATCTGCAGTGGAGGTTATGCCCGGAGGCAAACCGTCTGGAGAACGTAAACCGTCTGGCGAACGTAAACCGTCTGGTGTAACGACTGCCGCGGGTCGGCGAGACGATGTGCCCGTGATTGACCACAAGGACAAGTTCTGGATGCTGGACTGGGTGGGGGAGACCGGACAACCATCGAGTGGCCTTGTTTTGTACGTGGTCATCGAAGACAATATTGTATCGGTTGGCGGCCTGGTGAGGTGGACTGGACAAAATGTGACGTCTGCAACTTTCGAGTTGACGATGGTCCTGAATGGAAGAGGGGAAATAATACCAAACATTAAACACGTCGCTTTTCGATGGGCCAACCACGCGGGGTTCGGAAAGTCGTTGGTTGATGTGTTCAACCCACCAGGGACATTGACAGTGAAGTTGCCTAACCTCGTTGACGTCCTCGGGTTTTTCGACAGTAATGTGATCGCGGGCAGAGAGCCAGTTGTGCATCCAGAGGACCGCATATCAGAGCCTAAATGCGTGCTTTCGAAAACCGTGGAGACAGGGCCTTCGATCACGATCCGTGATACGCCACCTGGTCCGAAAGCTGGGCAGATCGGAGAGAAGGGTCTGTGCCGTGGACTGGTCGTACCATCAGCCCCTATGAAAACCAGGCCAACGGCGACCAAAGCACCAGTTTCCTTGGGCAGCCGATCGCGCTATGATGTGGCCACCAATGGACATCTCCCCTTGGTGGGCCAGCATCGCTATGACTACTCTGTGCCAAGCCGCGCAGAGGAAGCACATGAGTATTTTGAAGACGAGGATGAAGAGAACAACGAGGAATATTCGGAACGAGCAGGAGGACAAGAACAATATGTTGCGGGTGTCGGTGGCATGACAAGGCATCCAGGAGAGACAAGTAAAGTGGTTGGACAGGATGAAGACAGTGAGCGCACTGTGAGCGCATCGGGTGGGGAGGTTGGTCTGGCAGGAGGATATGGGGGCAGCTACGAAGGATATGAGGGGGGATGTGCACGCGACAGTGGCTATGGCTAGGCATACAGATGCTGCAGGGCTCACTGAGCGAAAGAGGAAGCACAAGCGCGAGAGGAAAAGTCTTATGGATAATAAACGGAGTAGGCAAGAAGCGGGTGAAAAAAAATGATTGAAAATAATGCCCTTGGATGAGGCGGTCCAGTGAACGCGAGAGACTGAGGCAGCCGCGAAGAAAAAGCAGCAGCCAAAGAAAAGAAAGGCAAAAGGTGGTGTTATGGAAAATACTTCTGTTTTTCCAGCGGAACAACCACAATCGGATGAAGAGGCCAAACGCAAGACAGTTACTAGGCCGCCAAGTTTGTGAAATGTGCCATTAGTGACTTCTTCTGGTGTTCTTAGCAAAGTTTTTTTCCTTGACTTAGACGAGCGTGGGAACCAATGTCAAGACATGGAATTCATTTCTGTCCAGTTCGACAGAATTCTGGATATCCCCGACGGGGAATTCAGATACAATCAACGCTATCTTGTGCAGCAGACGGTTGACAACATTTATGACCAATGATTGCATCGGGTGAGGCCGCTATGAGAGAGAGAATGACTGGAGCTGCCGGTGTGAATGTCTGTACGTTGTATGAGAAGCCTGTCCTTTTGTTGGTTGCCCTCCGTGATACATTGCATACTGACGCTTCAGGGAGGATTGTGAGAGCAAGGAGGGTGATGCTCGATAATTTTGATCTCGAATCTGTGAACAAGTACTACTACTACCCTCTCAGCGGTTAGCATAACGTGGCGGCGGCAAGAAGGTGTTTTGTTGAACGTCCTGACATCGCACAAGAGCTCCGATTGGATCGCTGGACTGCGAGGCCTGTTTATTATCCGGATAAGAGCATGGACAATTACGGCACGCTGAGCACTTTCCTGAACTCCAAGGACAAATGAAATACCCCACCGCACCAGAACGTGGTCGTCCAGAACATACGGAAGTTGTGGCACGAGTCGAACTGTCCTGAAGCTAAAGGCGGCTCAGCGGCAGAAGTGAAAAATGCAGAGTGTTGAAAGTTTGCAGGAGAGGCTCTTCGTTTGACCGGGATTCGTAGTTTGATTGACATGTCCCTTACTACTCAAAGGAGCAGCCAGTGGTCTGACACCCTCGGGCCCTACATGTTGTTGGCAAGGGCGACAAATGACGTTTTCGAAAAGGTGAAACAAGTGTACGCCGCTTGGGAAGCTGGACAATTATCAGGAAGAGATGCTGTGAAGCCTGCTACCAAACAAGGTGAATCAGGGAAGGCACCGAGGGCTGGACCCGGATTTGAGTTGAAAGGTGGAGTTAGGTATCCGGTTCATTGGGTTTAGGGTACCAAAGGACCTGGTTACCCCGTGGCTGTGCACGATCCGAATATCATAGCGTGGAAACCTTTTTCAGCGCTTGGGAGGCGTGAGCGGCTGCAACTGTTGCGAGACATTCTCACAGGCAGTGTGATACCAACTTCTAAGCGAAGTAGAGTTGTTAAACATGTCGGGAAACATTCAACGGAAACATATGTGGAAATGGTGAAGATTGAAAGAGCAATGTTGAGGATGTTTCATTACTTCGTCTTCAGTTCTGACCCTCACAGAAAGTCGTCAGAGTGGACGAAACCATTCTTCAACAACCTTTCCGATTTGTTTCATAAGTACTCTGATGAAGGATTGACGCCCGAGAGGTGGATCGACCAGCGTCGCCATTTCAAAGAGATGAGTTGGGTGCGAACGTTTCCGGCTACACTTGGAGGAGAGGAGGAATAAAGAGAAGAGGGCTTCAAGAAAACAGCGTCACTTGCTGCGAAGTGCCCCGAAGAGTTCGTGCAGTTTGTCAACAAGCTGCTGCGCAGATCAGAAACCAGGGGTTCGAAAAACATAAGAATATCGGGCTCGGCGCAATATATACATTTCAAAAGACAGAACGTGAACTCTGTTTTTGTCCCATTCCAACGGGAACCAAACAATATTTCGGACGAGATGGATTCCAAGGAAATACATGGAGTCGTCAAACATCTGAGTTGCCACACGGCCGTGCTGGATTTATGTCACCGTACCCAGATAGGGGTGTGGACTGAAGAAGTCTTTGATGGTCTGCGGAAGTTCATGGGAAAACTGGGTGGTGATTATTGAACATTATTGTGCTTCGTTCCGCGGTCTTGCGAGTATATATTTTTCAAGCGAGTTACAAGTTGGGAGATTGACATTCAGTTGTCTATTCTAAAGTGGACTCGCGAACAACAAACGAAGGCAAAGCATTATATAAGGTTGCGAACTTGCCTTTGGAGGACACTGACAAAATGGCTGTCATCATGTACTCCAACGATGGGGATTATCACCGCAACACTATTCCGTTGCTTGAAGACATTCCAGCAAGCACTCCAGCTGCAGATCCATCATTTGGCGAGCAGGCGGGTGACTTATCAGCACTTGTGCGCAGCGAGAGAAGGCCAAAGATGTTGGCTGATGTCGTGGAGAAGAACTTCACGCCCACGAAGTTGAAAATGGCAGGTATGGAGCCAAAAGAGAAATTGGCGTACGAAACTATGGAAAGGGAACCAAATGCGATGGTGGAGAGATTGGAGCATTTTTGTCCTGCGGATGAGGCGGTTGTTTTCCTGGGAAAAGGACATGCGGCGTTGATTTGGGAGTTGTTAAAGAGTCACCGTCATTGCATTGTTCTGGAAGGGGAGGGTATGAAGTTCGAGTTTCTCGTTCAATTCGTCACCAAGATGGTCTAGAGTGGACTTTACCTCGCCAAATTTGTTAAGCCGCCTCCTCGACATGATGAAAAGCGTGATCTCCTCTACAAAGTCGGCAAAAACATCGTCAACATTTGGGAGTTCCTTTTCGAGACTAAGCCACAAAACAGAGGGGAACGTGCATATGTCGTCAGAAGGCGAAATATGGAATCACTTCTGAGGGAGTATCATAAGGCACCGGCGGAGACGGAAGTTGCATTTCTAGACCGTTTGGAGATGATGTACTTCGACGAACAAATCGGGGCGTTTACAATTGCAGCTTATGCAACTTGTTTTGGGGAAGGTTTCGGTGCCGAGTACTCAGAGGAAGAAAGTAAAGATTGTACTTTGCAAGCGGCTTTGGCAGATGAGAGGCAAAAAACTTGTAGCTCGGCTTCGCAGAAGATGGGTGCGCCGGGCACATCGTCCGGTTCTGGGGGGGCTTCGAGTATGAAAGTTACAACGGACTAGTTTCAACGGACCAGTTACATGGCGGGCAACACAAAAAGTGCTATCTTCCGGCGCAGTTCGGGATGATCCGAGGCTGCTGGCAATTCTCTCCCCAGAGGTTATGGCAATTCTCTCAACACTTGCACATAGCCCGGCTACTGTTTTGGAATTGCTACGCTCTCAAACTCCTCAACCACCTCCGTCTGAGCCTTTGGAGTACGAGATTGAAGACATCATCCCTCCGGACATTGCACGGCTTCCTGTACCTAATATGTGCCGGGACGATTATACGGTGATGTTGACAACGTATGGGGTCATCACATTATATCGCACCCCCACCACTTCCAACCTGCATTGGCAAGAGGGAACTGGGCAATGGCTATAAAAGAAGAAGGGGAGTGACAATTTTGCCTCCACAAACGCATGTCACGATCCAAGTTTGTCGCATACGCACAAAATGAGATTGACAAGCGACTACTGCGACTTAATCCGAAGGTTTCTCAATCAAGACAGGATGCAAGGACAAAAGAAATCTTTGAGGAGTTCAAAACATCTTGATGGCTCGAGTATCTGGAAGATTTCTATGATCGAGAAACAAGTCCAGCTTTTGGATATAACTTGCGTATCGAAGAGGAACTTGAAGACAACGTTGGGGAAAGGAAAGGAGCGAGCGGGGATGAGAGTGGCAAGGGATTAGGATCAGGCAGCGGTGCGCTTGGCAAGGGAACAAGATCAAGTGGTGGTGAACATGGCAAGGGATCGGAACCACGGGGCGGTGCGAGTGGCAAGGGCCTGGGACCGAGCGTCGGTGCAAGTGGAAAGCCAATAAGTCATGGTGAACTGCAAAAATACGAAATGTGTCAAGGGCATCAAGCAACAGAGGGAAAGGTATCAGGACCAAGCGGCGGTGCACATGACAAGGGATCGGGTTCGCCTCTGGGATTAGGACCAAGCAGCGGTGCACATTGCAGGGGATCGGGTTCGCCTCTGGGATTAGGACCAAGCGGCAATGCACATGGCACGGGATCGAGAGGCGATGCAAGTGGCCAGGATTTGGGAGGAAGCGGCGGTGCAAACGTCAAGGGCGTAAGTCATGGAGAACTGTCAAAATGTGTCGAGGACGTCCTTCCGGATGACCAAGTTTGGGTGACCACTTTGTTGGCGATCGAGAGTGTTACTGCGCAAGTGGATAATTCTGGTGCACTTGCAGAATTAGAGATGTCATTGGATATGTCGGCTGAGAAAGATGAACATGAATTCTCTCTGGACATGAAGAATGAAAGCGCGACTGCAGGTGCAAACGAAACTGCCAATGTACAGGTCATCGAAGAGGATGAAGGACATATAGTACTAAGTACACGGGAGCAACATACGCTTGTACAACCTGAACTTATGGTTGCAAAATCAGAAGCACAACAGTCTGCTAACCTCGTCATATCTATCGACGAATCTCCTTTTACACCATCGCATGGTGCGATAGAAGATCGTGTTGAAGACAAAGTGTAAGTGAATCACCGAGGTGAGCACGTACTTATCTCTAAGGGAATATCTAATACTGTATGCGGATTAGGGGGTACATGCACTCATCTCATAGGAACTATTTTTTTGCCTAAGTTTGCAACCGTGCGCTCGGTCATGAGAAGAAATGAAGTAGAATATTGTGTATCTCTTATCGCAATTATGTGGAAAATTGAACTTAAACTCATAATGTTTTGTCTTGTCAATCATTGTCGTTTTATATTGTTGAACATGCAGGGCGACGAAAAGAACTGTGGAAAACGACGCACGTACATTCGCAAAGGCAGAGTGAGAAAAATATTATTCGTCGTGGCTTGCAAGCCTTATCGACTTTGCCGTTATTGCCCCAAAAAGAGAGAAGAAGACTTACACCCATGACATTTCCATCTATGAAGCTAGCTGCCCTAAGGATGTTTAAAGCTGTTGGAATAAGCCTCAGGGAAGGGAAAAAATTGCATCGCAAAGGTTGCAGTTTATCTATTGTGGATGGCAGCTCTGATAGCGAAACAGATAGACAACCAAAAACATCAACTCGGGTCTACGTCGTACATCACATAATGAAAAGTTCGTTTTTGTATGAAGTCTTAGTCGTTCCATTGTTGTTTATATTTGTGTTTGTATGCAGTGCATGACCCTTCGTTCCAGATTCCTTTAGCAACAAAATGCCTCACCGTAGAAGAAAAGGAGTATCTTGACATGATTACATGCAGCAGTAAAGACAATGAAGCATACGGCATTGTCGATTAGAAGGGGAGCTGGAAGGTGGGAAAGGAAGACATCATGGTCGTCGTCGAGGATGGGAAATGGCTAAATGACAAAGTTGTCAATTTGTACTTGCTAGCCGTCCAGATCACCAATGATCACATCAAGGTTGATTCGGCATGTACAAAAGTGACAAGAGATAAAGTTCCTTTTGTGTACATTTTTAGTTCATTTTTCTTCACTCGATTGTCAGGTCCTTTGAGGTTTGAAACCGCATATTCCGAAGGGATGAAATGGGTGAAGGACACAAATCTTTTTGATTATGACTTAGTGATTATCCCTCTGAATTTTGGAAATCACTGGGCGTTAGCTTATGTCAGCATAGACGGTCTGAACTGTAAATTCCACCTCATAGACTCTCTCCCTCGTGCTGACTATGTTTCAGTCCTTGAACGTTTGGAAGATTTTTTCGAAGCGGAGTTTCATCGATATAATCTTCGCGAAAGATATCATGTGGATGAACCTACATCCTCCTTTGATACATCAGTAGATGAGATTCCTGCTCAAGAGGATGCTTGTAGTTATGATGTTTTTATGTTAGGTTTTGTATCTTTGCTTGCAAGAGGTCACTTCCCTCCATTTGCTTTCTCACAAGCCAATATTTATAATATGAGGCTTAGAATAGCATTTGACATTTTGTTCATGATTAGATAGGAAAGTCAATGAGGTGCGACTAAATCTACAGTCCGTAGTAAATATTTTGTTGATGAGATTGATATGTTACTCAGTGTAAACATTCGAGGTAAAAACTTGACATTGTATTATATTTTGAGCACAGGCAACACAGGAGCATGACTGTCAGATTAATTTTTCCTCATTGTTTTGTCGTTCCTTCAACTTTGCACTGCTATGAACATTCTTTCGTCCTTATTTTGCTTTGTCGTTATTTCGATTTGTTGTTATTTTGCTTTGTCGTTATTTTGCTTTGTTGTTATTTCGTCTATAATTTCCTAATTTCGTTCTGTCATTTTACACTTAAGAAAAAAAGTGAACATGAAAACAATTTCACTTATAACGAAAACACCGTTATAAGCATGAACATCTGCACCCGAACAATGACAGTACGTATATATACATGGCATATATATTTGTGATTTTGTATGAATATATACAGAGCATATTCCTCAGCGCCTGCTAATGACTTGCTCCGGGAGGAGACCCTCTTCACACGCTATGACTGGCCTAACAGAGGTTTGGCTCATGGGCTGACAAGGGGTATAGTGAAGTGGTCCCCAAACCCACCCCGTACACCCCTTTGATGATGTGACTATCATCCGAAATTGTGACTTGAAGTTTGGGAGCTCGGCATGAACCATAAGACCCTGTACTCTTGAAATATGAATTTCACCCGAAGTGCCACTGCTAGTTGACACCAATAAAGACTTGGGATCGATAGTGAATAGTGTGAAGCGTCAAGAATTGACATTGGCTGAAAACTCTGTGAGGGTCGATCCGATTGTCTGTATGATAGCAAAACCACATTGGCCACAATAAGACTGAATTGTTGATGTATTTGCCTCTCCATACGGGATCTGCACCTGGCCACCGGACAATTTTCTGGAACCATTGGAAACCACGACCCTTTAGTGCCTCCATGAGCTAGCATCCGAAGAAGCCACCAGGCCTGAGTTCGATGCCTACCGGCGACTTGATCGTGACCTTCTGACGTACGGACTAGGCACCCCCTCGTGCCACAATGAGGAATTATGCCGATACTAGACCGAATCTGACCCGGTACTTGCACAATGTGAATCCACCAAAGGCCCTCAGGATACGTCCCTGCACGCAAAACTCCACAATCCCCCGCGCATGAGATCCACTATCGGTCCTGCTATATCTTGAGTAGCATACTCATCATCCTTCATCTCATTCTGTGAATGCAATTGTTCTATGCGACTATTGAGGCTTGCGTGAAACTCCTGCTTATTTGGCTATGGCGGCGCTTGACTTGGGAGGGATATTATTCGGCGACCTCGCGGAATTCCAGAGTGACGAGGAATTGGTATAATCCCTTAACCACCACTTACCTGCCGCAGCATGTCTGGAAGATTGGCAGATTGGAATGGTTGTGTCGCGTTTGTTGTGTTGTGAAATGCAGGCTTTTGGATTCCCTCTGATGAGCTGAATAAGTGGGGTTCGGCGAAAAAYGTTTTAGGGGCTGGCCACACCCTTCCTGCATCAACCTCTGCGACCTGTTCCTATTTCTTCTGAAGCCTACCTGTTGGAGAATCTCTCAAGCCTCTTYTGTATCTGTGTTGTTCATCATGCATCATTACACAAGTGAATGCTTTGTCTAGGAATTACTTGGYGGACCTCCATCTCCGAGTATGGTGGATCACCTTCACATATCGCCTTTTACGATCCATATTTAGATACTCCTCTATCGTTTAGATGATTGAATAGAACTTACACTACGTAGTTTCACTCCCATTATTAACTAGCTAAGAATCATCCCCACGCACTCTTCTGACCTCCTTTTGTAGAATTAGCTAATTAATGGGCTTCTTTGCTATGACTCGGAGTGATTATGTCGTCCTGTCCCTCCCCCCTCACCCCCCTCACCCTCGTCTTGACATTCAACAATTAGCAGGATTACCCCTAGATAGGAATTRACATYATGAGTCCTTGTGAGATTCTAGGATCTGTTAAGTGGGAACTGCTCTGCAAAAGATAGTTGTCCCGGTATGATATTCTTAACTCAGGATGAGGATAGCACCACTATACTTTTTCGGATTAATCGGGTTGGGAGTACATCAGACACTAAGGATGCGGTGGGCAGGGGGAAGTAAGGTTTAGTATTACTCTGTAAAACACAAGAAGCCATGACCTGTAGTTATTCGGAAGGAAGGGGTGATGATCTTACCAGTTTTTACCGGTAATCTTTGCTAAAGCCCACTCGGACTTTCGGATATTGTACGAACATAGGAATGCCCCCTTTTTTTAGACTCAGGAGTTGGACAATATTTGTTCCAATGAGTATAGTAATTGCGTGATGGGCATGACATCACTTGATTTCTTTTTATGGTGCATTGAATTCTAGGATTCGGAATGCGGGCGATAGATAGAAAGAGTGGGAGTGAGAGAGAAAGAACGAGGGAAGAAAATGATGTTATTTCTACAGGCATAGAATGGGTAGCCTGAGGTACTGAACGATGGGTGTGCAAGGATTTGCTTCGATGCATATAGTGGTTGTGTTTTTGGGTTTATTGTCACTAAATTTCATCTCGTTTCGGTTTGTTTTGGTACATTGAGTTCGAGAATTTCATAGACGGATGGAGAAGTGCGAAGGGGAGAGAAAGAGAGGGAGAAAGAGAGGAGGGATGGTGCTATTTCTATAAGCATGGAATGATGCAGCCTGAGGAGCAGTGGATGTTTCTATGAAAATTTCTACCTGCTATTGAATCGTCCTCTCTTTCCTTGTTTTTCGGAAGTTGTTTGCAATATTGTCCAAATCATGCTTTGGGAGCAGTCGCCTGAGCSCGATACACTGCCATTTGATATTTGCTCTTGCATGGGACCTTGTTTGATCGAATCTGGGGAYTAAAAAGATGAATGGTTCCTCCCTCGCTTTCCAGAGTGTTCACAACACTACGGTTCATTGCTTCCTTGTTGATAATTAGTCGTCTCTGTACTGTTTTCCTCTACCTTCAACTATGMTGTTTCGATTAGTAACACTSGTTAGCTTATCGACCCCATCACCTCCCCTTAGAAGCTCTGTYTAGGACCTCGTTGACTGAGGTTGCCGTRGCAATCAGGCGACAACATGTATAGGGCTCTTGAGCCCCTCGCATGGTGACCTGGATAACTACGACCACCTCGATTGAACAGTGGAGTCCAGCATCTGTCTACTCTCATCCCTTGTGAGCCCCCTGCGCAACACTAGAATCCTTTAGGGTACCATCTCTTATAGCCCTTTGTTCGTTTGACTGAATCGGAACATGCATGATTTGGCTCTACGATTCTATAATTCCCAGAAACAATGTACGAATGACCAGGTGAGGTTACGSAGGCGAGGTGRCATTCACTATCTGTGATTAGATGTTGAACGAAACTATGATTGGATGAAGCTCGAGGCTCTAACCGTTCTCAAAATCTTTTCTCCATACCYGAGGGAATAAGCACACGGYGATCAGAGCATTCATTTTTTTCACAACCGCCACATGCTTATGCACATCCTCCACCTCATCCCCTTATGAAATTAACTATTGGTAGCGTATATTTCGCGATCATCTAAGTACTAGCTTCTGCCACAATTACCGAGATACGGATCTGCCATTACTTTCAGTTACGAACCGGAATGACTCCTCTGATGTTACGCATGGAGTGAACTGATCCTAGTAGCCTTTCCTTGATCAGCCACACATTGACTGACACCGAACCAGCCACATACTATGATTATAGCTGCACTATATTTAAAGCTTGGTATAAGGTTATCCCCATCAACTTCCCTTTCTCGACCTTCCACGATGATGTTATCCAGCATTAAAACTACTGTAAATCATACTTCACAGAGTATCCATAAAATATCTGAATAACGTAACATACCATCGTGTATATATATTTTTCGGTGCACCACACTAATAGGACTTAGTGCAATCTTTACCACCCTGTCCTGAAAAACTRACCACTATATGCTTGCACTACCCCTGCACCTTGTCGAGCCATGGAAGAACTACCACCTTTCAGAGCAACCCTTGTCGAGAAAATTGTCAGCATTGAGAAACGCATTGCTCTGCTCAATGATGTTCTGATAAGGAGGGGGGACGCCCCATCTSTGTCCCCKGATTACCACTACGATGCACCTTCAACTGATGACTACACAGAGATAAGACAATGGACTGCCTCTGTTTTTTCRSAGATTTACACTTAGTACCGCTYYSTGTTAGATGACCTTGAGGGTAATGCACTGCACAT